TAGTGGGGAACAGGCTTCAAGGAGTTAAGAGGAAATAGGCTCTAGAGGACTAGATCTTGGAGGCCTGTTCAGCCCTAACGTCCCGACCCTACCCCGCATTATCCTGGTGCCACCTCCGGTCCCCCTGCCACTCTCTCTGGCTTTTTTGCTGCGATTCTTTGGTGAGCCGCTTGCAGATAGGCATCCTCCGAGCCTCAGTGCCAGCCCTGCTGCAGGCACCGTGCACAGGCGAGCGTGGGCTACACGGACATGCCCACCTCTGGGCCTGTGGTTCCTGCCTGCACGGAGGTCTGCCCTGCGCAGGCTGGGTGCTGCCCCTCGTGCCCGGCTTCCATCCCTTCATGAAGAGACAGCCCTTCTGCTCGCCTTTGCTTGCGCTGCCTTACAACTTTTAATCTGAATCACGTATTGTAGCACTTTCTTATATTTATTAATGGTTGATTCAATCAACAAACTCTTATTGATTGAGTGGCTACTAACTGCCAGGCACTGTGCCACCCTCGTGGACATAGCAGGGGGAAGGGACAGTAAGCAGGTAATTGGGGAAGTGCTGTAAAGTGACATTTATGGCACTGTAGATGGAAGCTAACTGGCGTCAAGGGAGGCCTGTCGGTGGCGGTGACAATTAAGCTGAGGTTTGAAGGATGAGAAGGAGGCAGCCATCTGAGAGCCCACGGAGAGAGCATTTGAGGCAGAAGCAAGACCGTGTGAAGGCTCTAGGTCCAGAAGTAGCCTAGGGGTTCTGGAAATTGGAAGGAAATGGATTGGGCTGGAGCTGATTGAACTAGGAGAGTGGATTTCAATGGCAGTGGGGAGCTGGGCAAGGTCCCCATCGTGGAGATCCATGTGGGCCGTGGGAGGGGTTTCTATTTCATTCTAAGTGCAGTGGGGAGCCTCTGAAGAGCTTACAGACAGGGGAGATGTGACTTGTTCACTTTGGCAGCTACGCAGAGTGGATTGGAGGAAGGAAAGACCAGAAAGGAAGCTCCAGGTGTTAGATGCTGCCCGGCATATCATCAGGGTACAGAAACTGAGCAGTGGGTTTCCAGAGGTTCTATACGGTGCACTCAGGGGCATGAGAGCCAGGTGATTAGCCTGAAAGGATGGGCAGCCCCACGGTCACATCCAGAGATGTCCCCACGGAACCAGACCCGCCTGTTCCTAAGACCCGACCTGCAGACTGGAGTGTCTGGGCTGCCAGGTGCAAAGGTCACAGGTCACAGGACTAGGAGAACAGAGGTGCAGACATGAGTAACCTGGAGTCAGGAGCCTGAACTAAATTACATCTGCAGTAACCCCACTCCCAAATAAGGTCACATTCTGAGATTCCGGGGATTAGGATTTCAGCGTGTCTTTTTGGGGGGACACGGTTTAACCCATAACAATGACCTAGAACAAGGATGAAAAGAGAGAAGAGAAGGGGTCCTAGGACTTTGCCATTGTCTAGCAGTTGGATGGAGAACAAGCCAGCAAAGGAAATGGACAATCCAAGCGCAGAGAAGCAAGACAAATATGGTGTGCGTGGTGTCGTGAAAACCAAGTGTTTCAAAACAGAAGGGAATGGTGAATAGTGCAAGAGAAATGTGTCCCTTGGGTCATAGAGCTGAGAAGTTGACCAATGGATGTGACAACATGGCCACTGGTGATCTTGACAAGCTCGGCGCTGGAGCGGAGCAGAGGGTGGAAGTCCAGTTAGAGGAGATGAGAAGACAATGGGCAAAGCTGTGGAAACGGCCGGAGATAACGCTTTAGAGATTTGGCCCTGGCAGGAGAACAGAGAAATGGGGCAACAGCTGCAGGGAGAAGGAGGGATTAAGGCAAGGCTCAGTTTTGGTTTTGGTGTGTTTTGTTCTTGTGTTTTGCTTTATTTTTTTTTAATGGGAGATGCTGGAGCAGGTTTGTATGCTTGGATTAGCTCTATTTTCGTATCTGTGTGTTTATAGTGTGTATGTTTTGTATTCAACTTTGGTCGTTATGTGTGTTTTAGTGTGTTGCCTTCCCAGCGTTGGGGCCCCTCGGGGACAGGTCTGTGCCTTCAATTTCTTTTGTCTCATAACCATCTAGCCCGACACCGAGCATTTGTTCATTACAGTCACAGCAAGAAAAACATTCTGCTGTACATATCATGGCACCGTGCACGGCTGTCATTTCGTTTTCTAATGGAAAATGACTACGAGAGATTTTCACAGGCCCCGTTCATGTAACGTCAGCCGACGAAGTCCACGTCTGGTGTTTCTTGCCAAAGAACATCACTGCAGTGCCCTCGGCGTGACAGCCTCGTTTGTTAGATGCTGCCCGGCATATCATCAGGGAACAGAAACTGGGCAATGGGTTTTCAGAGGTTCCAAACGGCGCACTCAGGGATGTGAGAGCCAGGTGATTAACCTGAGAGGATGGGCAGCCCCACTGTCACGTCCAGAGATGTCCCCACGGAACCAGACCCGCTTGTTCCTAAGACCCGACCTGCAGACTGGAGTGTCCGGGCTGCCAAGTGCAAAGGTCACAGGTCACAGGACCAGGAGGACAGAGGTGCAGACATGAGTGACCTGGAGTCAGGAGGCTGCCACAGGAGAGGCTCCTCGGGAACCAGCCCAGAACTCTTCTCCTGGGGAGAGGCCTGAGTCTGCATAGGAGAGGAGGCGGGGGACACACCTGACCCTAGAACAGAGAGGGCAGAAAGAAAAGCAGCTTCTCACACACATGTCATGAAACCATGTTCTTGTCACTGTAATGTTCTTTTCAGATATTGCCTTTTCTAAGTGGTGTGGGGTTTGTTTTTTATTAAATAAACCAAAACCATCTCTAAAGAGATCGCACTGCTAGAGGCAACCTGCAGTCATGTCCCCAATTACACACGATGGTCAGGTGACTCTGGAAGCCCAGGTGTGTGGGGACTCGGTGGACACAATGACGGATGGGATCAAAGGTCCCATGCTACAGGACAGCCCAGTAGGGAGAGGCCATAAAACTACCACAGGCACCCCAGTGCCTCGGCGCCTGCAGGCGAGTGGCCTGCCGTGTTCACGCAGTCAGCAACCAGGACTGGAGGAGTCACAGACCAGAGAGAGGGTCACGTGCCTGGCAGAACACTAAGGGGACAGGGACACAGCAGGCCCATTGAGTAGAGCCAAGGCAACTTGCCCCCCACCCTCCGCAGTAACTCCCTCCTGGGAAGGCCCGGGATTCAGGAGAAGTGAGTCTTACCGCCCAGACCAATGTCTGCGGCACTCTAGAAGCACCCAGCAGCAGTGTGAATCATCAGCTCAAAGGAAGTGAAGAAACTCCTTTTACATCAGAAAAACCCAAAGACTTTGTAACAAGACATATGGTTTTTGTTCTGTTTTATCAATACTATGATATAGAGAAAAAACATGAGCAACGAGAGCACATTTATAGGAACAAGGTGGGGAGATGCTTTTTTTAAAGATTTTATCGGGGAATTGGGGGAGGGGAACAGCGCTGGGGAATCGGGGGAAAGGGAACAGACAAGTTGCTGTCGTTTTGTTCTTCAGTCTAGTTGTGGAGGACATCGCTTCACTGGCCCATGTTGGTATTATTACGCTCTTCCTGGGTGAGGCAGATAGGTCGCCAGCCATTGGATGGCAGCTTTTGGCAGCTCACGCCAGCTGCTGGCCGTTCACAGTAGCTCCAAGCCACTCACAGTAGCTCACGGCAACCCACTGCCACAGGGGCTGCAGCCTACGCTGTCGCCGGTGACTCACGGCAGCCCAGCTCCAGGTCGAGCTGCCGTTCAGCATCTTAGCTGTAGAGGGCAGTGTCACTGGCCCTCATGTGGGATCTGAACCGGGGCCCTCTAGCATCCCAAGCCAGCTCTTAACCAACACCTCAGTTGGCAGGCCCAGGAGATGCTTTTTAAGTGGGTAAAAATTTCAGCTCGAAGCTCCGAGGCCCGTGGAAGTGTTTTTCATCACACCCTGCCTCCCTTCTCTCAAGCTACATGGGTGAAGATAACCTAGATAGAAAAGGCTCCCCCGTTCCCTTCACCCCCAGTCCAGGCTGCTGAAAGGGTAGGAGAGGGGCGTTCTCTTGCATTGCTTCATCAAGTGGGAAATTTTCAAAGGAAACAGAAGTTGGGCTAATGCATTTCATGATCAGCAGAGTGCCTTGAGCCATGCCTTTGAGAAAACATAAGCTGTGTTCCTGTCTCATACTTTGAACTTGGCCTTCTCCAAAATGTACCCCCTCCCTCATCAGGACAGATTCTCAGAAAAGGAGATGCCCTCTCTGGTCACTGGTTTTGATTACTAACGACATGAGAAATGTTCTCTGAGTTTAGGTTGTTTCTTTCAGAGGCTCCAGTGTGTAACCTTGTCTGTCATGTGAACGGACTGAACTCCTACAGTTGGAAACGAGATTGTAGTGGAATTCTGATCAACACCCAGACTATGTATTCATGGAACATGGTTCTGTAATTGTAATATTAGAGAACTTTTTAGGAGATTAACTTTTTAGAAGCCAATGGAAAAAACAGTGTTTCCCTGGGAAAGTGTGACACAAACTCCTAAGAAAGGGATCACTGGCGTGAACCGATATTGGATTTAACCCCATTATTCTGGGCCGGGAAGCAACTTGTTTTGTATAGATTATTGAACACAGAATACCTGTGTTTGAGAATTCCTTTGGAAAACCTAGGTGTTCTCTAAAGATTGGCTTCCCGAGTTTTCGGCTATAAAAGAGAACTCAGAGCATCTCTCTAAGGTGGATCTTAGCTCGTCTGGTTGGTGTGTAATGGTAATGGAGTTAATAGATGTGGTTCCCTGTAGGTCTGTGCCAGAGTCTCAGACCAGGCGTGTGACCCTGGGGAGAAGCAGGCCCAAGAATGGGGGGATTATGCAACACAGCGTGAGAACACAGGCCCTTTAGAGGGGGTCAGTGCTGGCACCCTGGCTTTAAAAGATGGGATTTTATGTAGAATTTGTATAGAAATAGCTGCCTGCTTTTCCACATCGCTAATGCTTTCTTCCATGCTTCCTTTTCAGGGCCCCCGAGATCATCCTTGGTTTACCATTTTGTGAGGCGATTGACATGTGGTCCCTGGGCTGTGTCATTGCAGAGCTGTTCCTGGGCTGGCCGCTGTATCCGGGCGCTTCAGAGTATGATCAGGTGGGTCCAGGCAGCATAGGCATTCACGGCACCTGGATGAGCGCTTTGTGTATAACATGGCTTGTGGGTGGGGTTATGGGGTCATGTCGTCCCCCAAACCGTCCTTCCCTCAACTTTGCTTTTCTTTCTTTATTCCTCTTTCTTTCTTTCTTTCTTTTTTTTTTTACTTCTTTCCTTCCCTATAGCATTGTCGTTTTTCTCAAAGGCACTAGAACCATTAGGATACCATATGTACGATGACAGGAAAAGCCCTGACCTCATTCTCATCTTTCCTTGCAGATTCGGTATATTTCACAAACACAGGGTTTGCCAGCTGAATATTTATTAAGCGCAGGAACAAAGACAACCAGGTTTTTCAACCGTGACACAGACTCGCCGTATCCTTTGTGGAGGCTGAAGGTAGGAAGAAGCGTCCCCTCCATCCCTCACCAACACCCAGCGCAGCTTTTGACAGCTGCACGTACAATCTGGATCTCAGTCCGATCGGCCCGCGTCGTGGGGGAGGGGTGGCTGTTGTTGCTACTTGGTTTGGATGAATTGGAATGTTCACAAGCACCACTTTGCTTGGCCAAGCTCTGATTGCTAACCTCCCCCGATGTAATTGATGGGCTGTCTGTTTGTGTAGAGAGAGAAATGAATGACCCCTGCCCTCAAGGAGCTCCCCATCCAGAGGGAGGCGGAACACGTGCGGCAAACCCCAGCCCCCATAACAAGTGTCCTGTTCCTGGGAGGAACAGAGTATGGGAGGCTTTAATGCTGCCTGTGGCAGAGGGCCCGGGAGCAGCTTTTGAGCCGGGCTCTAAAGATTGAAGAGTGTCTTCCAGGCCAAGGAGACGGCTTAGGCAACCCCGGCGTCCTGAGGCCCGGGCAGGGATCTGTTTGTTTAGCTGGCAGGTGGTGCCGCGCCCCATTGCACATCAACTCAGGGGGCTTTGCTTTAACAGAAACATATTTTGCTTTCACTTTGATCTATGCCTAGTAATTAAGATGAATGTCTTTTTCTGGGAAGGAGAAAATAATGCAAGCCTTAAGTATGTTTTATGTTCATTTTAGGTGCTTCTTTTTTTTTTTTTTTGCAAGGGGGTGGGTGGGTGTTTGGGGGGTGTTGTTTTTCT